CTTTCTGATAGAATAAGGAAAATCTTTCACAAGGAAGTAGAGAAAAGATGCTCCATAAAAAAATGAGGTTGATCTAAAGTTTTAAACTTTCAAATGACTCTGTATATACTTTTTATTAAATAATATATTTCTTTCTAAATTTGAATATTTAACAATGGAAATCTGTTTACTTACATTGTCTTACCAAAAGTACATTTTTAAAGAGAAATAAAAAATAAGTTTTTAATTGGAAATATTCCAGACTTATTCCATGCATTCATAATCCATGAATTCCATAATCCATGGAAGCTTAATTCATGCTCAAAATCCTTACTTTAACTAAGAGATTTCTCCCTTCCATCAAAATGAGATTGTCATGTCATCACATCTTCACAAACTATAAATTAACCCAATTTCTTACTGGCCATGGAAATTTCAAAAGTTATCTGAACAGATTTGAGCCCCGAGTCCGTCTGTGATTGTAGCCTCTGTAGCGAGGAGAATGTTGTGCATGTACTTCTTCTATGTCCTAAATTTGAGAGCGAAAGAAAAGTCTTGGAACTGGGACTAAAAAATTTTAATATTAGCTGGCCTCCAGAATTTTACCAAAGCCTGGAAAAAATTATATGAAGCCTGATGGATTTCGCCTGATAAGCTTTCAAAAACTAGAAAATTACTTGAAAGGCTGATTCTGCGGCGATTCAAGTCTTAATTCAAGATCTACTTCCAACAGCTCGAGCAGTTTGGGTTTAGAAAGGCATTAAGATACTTCGAATTAGCTGAAGATATAAAAATTTAAATCTAATTAATGAGCTATTTTTATCATTTTTATAAGCCTTTTGTGGGCCTTTGGATCAGTTCGTATTAACCGAAGGTTCAAATTAACCGAATTCGAATTAACGAGCATCCACTGTATTTACTCATGCCTTCGCATCAGATTTGAGTATGTTAATACTCATGTTTTTTGCACAGTTATAGTTTCTGTACAGTTATAGAGTATCAATTGTCATGGCAGATATTCTGCTCAAATCTAACACAGATTTAACCAAGGTTTTTGTCAGACCCAAATACAAATCTGATTCCCAGGCTACTTTTAAGTGAAACAACATTGATTAGTTCCTCTATAATCTTGAAGTTTTTAGTTTTACAAATCAAAAATTGCTGCTCGTGGTCTATCTATTGCATCCGTTAATTCATTCATATGTACAGAATAAAGGACAAAATCTTTGCATTGGGATTTTAACTTATTGAATATATTTGCTACCAGATCCTCCGAGCTTCTGTTTACTGACACACCAACCAAGCTAATGTTCGAAAACGCTTGAGCCTCTGATTGTCGAGCCTTCAAAGCACATCAGCTGTACTTTGAAGTCAATCTTTTATAAACACTCTATCATTGAAACGTTTTCGCATTTAACAGTTGTTTTCCTATCATGTAGAGTAACACGATCACTGTTTTTACGGACTCTTTATTTGTTCTGAACAAAAAAGGGCTGTGCACAATTTAGTTTTGATTTTAATTCGCTGACTTTGTAAGGATCTTAAGTTTTACTAACGTTTATTTTATTTTAAATCTTTACTATCACTTCTTATTTTCTACTTCCGGCCAGAATTATAAACGTTAACGTATTTATGCAAAGTTTGTCTGGCGAACGCCAAGTATTTAAGTTGTGGCTTTTTGCCAAGCGAGAGAGAGGAAGCAGTTAGTCGAAGCAGGCCGCTTACCTTAGAAGTTTTACTCAGTTGCTGGTTGCCTTCCAGGCCAGAGGTTTAATCATCTTGATAACTTTAAACGTATTGTAGTGTTCACAGTTCTCTGTACTACATACGGCTTCCTGTTAATATAAGGCCAATCTTCCACGTTTATTATTTAAAGTTAAATTAGAGTTTAGTTTTATTTTTATATTTTTACGTTTAGACCACAAGTAGTGGCTCTTTGTATTTCCGAAGTACGGAAGTTATTGTAAATAGAGAAAAATAAAGGGTTTTGTATACCCTTCTTGTGTATCCTGTCTACTTCCCACAGTTATTGAACATAGCTTTAGTAAGCTCTCTGTTCCGAGTCAGGTCCTTGCATGTTCCCGAAGAAAGTAAGACGGAACATTGAACCTGATAACTTTATCGCTTCGAAAATATCCTTCCAATGCAGAATATGTCCCACTGTGCTTAGTACCATAATGCTTTTTCATGCTATATTCTTTCATTATCGTTACTCTGTCGTTACAAATAAGGCAAACTTCCTTACTCTGAACTCAATGAAAGTTACTTTTCCTGGGAATGGGAAAGGATGCCTACCAGTAGCCGTGCGTTACATTTGCTAAACACTCGTATTTCGGTCCAGGGTTCGAATCCCGGTGAACGGGCTAGTTGAACGGGCGTCTCTGTTGTTTTCCCCTTGCATAATGTACATAGAGACAGTTTCTCTCAGAAAGTCCTCCACGAGGACATCCGTCCTCTTGTTCCAATAGCCTTAGGATATTTTGCCATAATTAAAATAAACAAAGACGTTTCTTTTTATTTTATCAAGGCTTGTCATTGTGCACTCATTCGAAGACCCAAAAACGCTCCCAAATTTCAGAATCTGAAACGATTATGAGTAACTTAGCTTAAATTAACTGTACAAACCCTGCTTTACGATGATTATATACACCTGCTCCTTTTGCAACATTAAGAGAAACATAATTGCGTTCTTTATTTTTTTTCTAAATTTTTGAACAAGAAACCTAATACGTCTGAAGGTATAAGATCCCATCCCGGGCATGGTTTCTCCTGCGTTTATTTAAATCCAGAAGGTGAACGGCCAACACGGTGGAGTGCTTCAGATATATTGACCTTCAAAAAAAAAGCAGACATGAGTGAGATGAATGTCAAATATCTCGCAAATTTCTGTATTGGAGGAGAAAGTTGCGTTGATGGTTTCATTTTTAACTTACCGAAAAGGCTCGGCAGGCCATAGATTAAAGACCCCTAATGCAGAGAGTACAGAATGTAATCCTTTATATAACCATAATCACTAATCTAACTTTCTAGTTTTATGAAATAGATTCGTGTAACTACTATACTCACCTACTTTCTCTTAAAGTCAACTGTACTTTTAGTATCCCCATTTGATACAAATGAACGACGAATCATGAAACATATTTAAAAGTACCCATAAAGCAATAATTCAACCCAACGTCAAGCAATGCATTTGAAGAAATAACTTTATGACCAAATTAGGAGACAGCAATGGAAAAGCATTTCGAAGACATGAAATTCAATACATTTCAAATTAATCCTCGGTTGACAGTTTTATAATAAGGTAGAAACATTATTAATTGAAACTTTTGGTGAGCTTCTGACAGAATAAAAGACTCATCAATTTTACTTACGTAAAAGAATTAACTTTTATGCTTGGGAAAAAAGAAATATGGCAAAGAAATGTAAAGAAATAAAATCATTTTACGTGGGGCAATCTTTCACCGTACGTGTTTTTTGAGTTTCATCATAAAGCTTCAGTCAGTCCATTAATTTCAAACGAGAAAATTTATAGTTTTATTTCAAAATATCTAGCCAGTTTAATCGATTTAACCAAAAGTTAAATGCTGGTGTAATAATCTGGTGTCGAAATTTCAATCGATTTTAAAATAAAATTTCCTATTCGCATTCACTTTATTGAACCTTTATGTAAAAATTGATTGTCTGCGCTATATTGTAATAAATTTAAACTGGGAAAGTAAATTTATCGCAAAAAACAAACATTTTGTTAAATGATTAACTGTAAATATATTGCAGGTCATCAAAAACTAACTGTATTGTAAAAACTGTTGACTACAGCAAAGCATCTCAAAGGAAGATTGGAAGTTTTTTATTTTAAAATTGACATATAAAAACAATTTTAGATGTAAAAATAATTCAAATATTTTGCTATTTTTTAAATAAAAGTAACATCTATTGTTGCTATCTCATAAAATTGAATATTTTTTGCTGAAAAATATTATTGTGAAATGCCTAGCTGCTATAAGATAGCTTCTCCGCAAAGCATGCTTAGGGTTGCCAGAAAGTGGCAGAAAAGTCAGGGTTGCTACCTGTGGCGCGAAATCGCCCTTTTGGCGACAACATTGATATATCATAGACAGAATGAACATTCTAGAACGCATTCTTAGCGGGTTTCTTCAGGAATGTCCTCGAAGGTAGGTTAAAGCTCTGCCTGTCGTTGGTGAGAAGAATATCTTGAGTTCATTTCTTTCAGCAGAGTAGTTAGAGTTCTGAGGTTATCTTGAGAGCGATCGACCAAGTTGAGAGCTGTATTTTGGTGCTTTGCTGGTGAAGCTATCCTCACCGTTATAGATTGAAGGTTGTATTGCTGTTTGTTTCGGCGTATTCATCGTAGTTTTTCGACGACTGTAAATGTGTATTTAGAACTCTCCTGTGTAATATTTGGCGAATAAATTGTGTTTTGATTATTCATCAAATATTATCCTCAATTACTCCAAATCCACGAACCCGTACAGCGCAACAATATTAACACAAAAATATTTCAATTTTAAGGCTCAGCTCTTGTTTCTACACTTTTTAAACGTCAAATAGTAATAAAATAAAAATATAAAAATACTTAAAAATGCGCTATCGATACAGAGGTTTGCAATCAATACATTTCTCTAAACTTTATATATCATATTATAAAAGCGTTAGAAAACTGTTTAAGGTGTTAGAAAAATTTTTTGGTTTACAATAACAATCGTTGTAAAATGCCTTCAGAAAAATTCACGGAAAATTACTTTTATATCAAAGATATGCGGAAGATATTATTAATCGTCCAACGGAAAGCAGTAATACTTGTTTTCGAAGTCTAAAATATTTGCCAATTAAACAATAATAAAAAAATATGGACAATGCATAACTAATAAATTAGTCTGACAATGCTATCAACTTTACCTAAACTCAAACTTTTTCTAAGTGGACGGGTTTAATACATTACTTTGTTAGATATATAGATTCTCTCCTTGCCTGCTGTTTCTAAAGACCTTTTTTAAATTTAGAAAGTTTTGTCTGGCAACGCAATCTTCACTATCACTGATGATAAAAGATGCCGATTTCACGTTGCTTAAGAAGACGACGTTTTACCGTATACCCGAAAGCAAATTTTAGCTTGATCTGGAGCCTAAATTCAGGTACGTGTTTCAATTCCAATGAAGGCAGATTCTTTCTTTCTGCCTACCAATTCGTAGAGAACCAATTCGTTCTCGAATTTATTTAATGTGTAAGGAAAATTTCCATATCCCGTGGAATCTAAGAAATTCCACATATACAGAACTGCGATGACTTTACTATCCTAATTTATGAACTTATTCGAAAATATGGATATTTTACAAAATTATATTTAAGAGTATTAAAATTGCCTAAAACAATAGCACTTTGATGAAACTGTGGGGAACCACATAAGCTCAAACAATTAATATAAAATTCTTTTAAAAGAAAAAATCTAAAAATAGCAACTGTGGTTAAAAATGCAATATAAAATAAAAATATTTCCGAAAAAGAAGAAACAAGACATCTTTTTTGTACTTTCAGAATGAAATGATAGGGGTAAAGATTAGCGTAAACTGAAAAGTTCACCAAGTGGCATTAAGTGAAAAATGTGCCTTAAACTATATTTTGGAATGTTTTGGTACGCTTCTGGTTTTAAGACGTAATATGAGTTGCGGAATCGAAATATAGAAAACATTGGCATATCACTTCAGAAAAGAGGCCGATTTTGCGTCAAAATTCGCATGTTAGAACAATTGTTATATATAATTCTAAAGTATATCCTACGTCGTGCTTTCGAGATATGAAAAACGCAAGTTTAAAATTTGTTCAACCGGTTGAGTAAAACTGCCATCCCCCCTTTTTTTTTAAATCGGTGTACACATGTATTTTTAAAAATAATTTTATAAATAGTCACACTACAATTGGAAATATTTTTTTAAATATTTCAGTAGTCTAACAATGTTTTAAAATTGACATTCTTCAAATGTTTGCACCTATTACTATATGTTTTGTATAAAAATTTAAAATCTGAATGCAGGTTCGGCTAGTTTATTGACGAAACATTAGATTTTTGCTTAAATAGGCAAATTTAAAATTAGGCTCTGATTAACAATGAAATATTTCATGACTTTTAGTGCTTCATTATACTTATTGCAAAAATTAACTTATAAAATGCATAAAGAATCGTGACATTAAATTTAACTGGCTCTTGCAGCTTCAAAAACCGAAATTACCTTGGTTCAAGTCTTCTACTATCTGTTTTGCTAGTATTATGATGAAGAAAATTTTCCCCCGTAATATCTTGTATAGTGTATTTTTCCCTCCACTTATAGCATTCCTTATATGAATCTAATCAACACTGAGGATTGATTTTAGTTTCTTCGTCGGCAACAAAGTGAGCTGTTTGAATGGGGATTTCCTGGACGCCTACGTGTATGATAATTTGATCATTTTCCTCAGAACACACTTCCCAAAGGCATGCCTCTCAAAGCAGATAGCGATCGCGAGCTTTGACATATACAAGGTGTTTCAGCAAACCGGTTACAAACTTTCAGGAGAGATAGAGTACACCTAGAAGATGGAAAATCATATAACATTGTATGATCTTCCGACGATAAACTGCTATGTGATAACACAAAAAAGGAATGACACGAACAGTGTGACAAAATATGTTTTATTATATTCCGAAAAGTAGAAATCAACAAATAAGAACAAAAACAGACAATGATCGTCATTAAAAGTGCTCGAAATTACGACCCCGGACCGCAATGCAGGCCAAAAGATCTACATCACGCATAGAAGACCGCAAGGAAGATGCATGAGTCGTCAGTTCCTGCGTCATGGTCTGGGTCATATTTTTGAACACCTTCCCTTCGACGACGATCGTCTATTTTTGTTCTTATATCTTCGTTTCCGCTGCACTAATAATAATAATAAACATTATTTTCACGCTGTTCGTGTCCTTTCTTTCTTGTGTTTTGTGTCGTCAGTGCCGCTCCAGGAAAACGTTTCCGACCATGCATTGATATGTGTTTTCCCATCGTCTAGGTGTACTTTGTATCGCCTGAAAGTTTGTAACCGATTTGCTAAAGCACCCTATATAGAAACAACCAACCATCTTAGTATTGTTTAGATCTCTTAAAAACACACTTGCTTTAATATTTTTGCCACGTTGAATTACCTTTTTTGTTAGTTTTGGCCTATCACGAGCAAATGGATAAAAAAAGTAAATATGGTTGATTTACTTATCAAATGAGTTTAAAAGATCATGATGTAGATAAAGAACTCAAATTATAAACTAATTCAATGTGTATGGCATATCTATAAAAATTTATGTATGGCATATCTAATATCAGTATTTAGCTCATTAGCTGAAAACCATCTTTGTCGTGAAGAATGATTATATTAAAAGAGTCTCTGCTACAAAATCTAACTCCTAAAATTATTACAATACTTACTTCATCTAAAACCAGGTTTCGTGTATTAATACGTGGCTTAGTTGTTGTATTGAGTTTAAACAGAATGCTTACTTAGCCTTTCTGCTCTCTTTTAACAAAAGCAGGTACATTTTAAATGGTATGAATAGCAAGCGAAAATGAATGTAATCCAAATATTTGACAAAGTTAAAATATCTTACTTTGCATATGTAATTCAGTCTAGTGTCCTTCAAGATAATATGTTAGTCTCATTATGAAGTTTGCATTCACGACTAACTCTTAAGTAGGAGTCATTTAAATTATTAAAGTTTAGCTTCGTCGGCACTGACAAAATGCAAAAGTTTGCAGTTTCTGCCATTTTTAGCCTTAAGGCATTTGCTAGGTTGATTTTCGAAGCGAAAACAGCGACCAGTTTTACGTTATACGAAAAGAGGGTATATAGTCTCTGTAATACATATAAGCAAATTATTCCGTAAAACTAATAATTCTATATTTGATATTTTCGAAAATGTTAAATCATTAATCTATGTTCTCAAAAAAAACTTATATAATGTGGATTATTGTTCATACACATAGCTCGGTATCAATTAGGTTGTAGGTTAAAATATCGCAGACGTAAACGTCGCGAAGAAAACAACGCAACAGGAAAACATCTTTGTGCAAAACATCGTGGAAGACAAAAAAAGCGAGGGGGGGCATCTAAAACATCCCAGCATAAAACATCGTATCATAAAATAAAACAATGACAAAAGCTTCGCAGTTTTTAAAACATCATCGTACAAAATATCGCGATAAAATAAAGGACCTATAAATTATTGCATGATGGTAACTAGCATGTTTTTTCTAACTATAAACTTTTAAGTAATTTTCACGTAATGTTTTGTGAGTCCATGAAGTAAGTACTTTTATCTCTGTATTTCATATTTTAGCATTAAAGAATGGAATTTTTACCGAGAAACCAAGAAAAAAACTAATGCATTAACATTCTGGAAGTTACTAAATGTTAATTCTGCGTCGCAATTAACAGAATTTTAAACTTGTGTAGTTTCTTCTTTCTAATTTTTTATGCTATGTTTTTTTCATGAAAATCTACAAACTCGTCTTTATAAAAGAAGATAAGTAGTGAATTTTTATAGTCAGCATTATAAGCTTAAAATTCTATTAACTGCAGTATGTAGCATTAATTTTCACTAATTTCTATATTTTGAATGCTTTTTTTCCTTGCTTTTTTAATTAAAATTTATTAGGTATTGTAAAGATATTAAATATAGAGTAAAAATATACATATATTTCTTCTTGTGCTCTCAAATCATCATGCGAAAATTTACTTAAAACTTTTATAATCAGAAAATACATGTTTGATATTTTATCATCATGTGATAATTCTTAAGTGCTTTATTTTTTACAAGGATATTTTAAAAGTGCGAAATTTTTCCACCCTTTTATTTTCTACCACAATGTTTTAGAAGTGAGATGCTTTTTCTCTGCTTTCTTTTCTCGCATTGATGTCTCATACGACCATGTTTTCCCTTTCCATTTATATTCTCCGCCATGTAGTCAGCGAACAACACTATTTGTTACAGTGTAGACGTATGATTATTTTCTCCGTGTTTGCATTTATGAATAGAAGCTTAATGTATATATTCTTTGGACAATGATATTTTCCAGTTCTTATAAGTTTCCAGAAGATTCATTTGTTTCCTGCCTTGTTTAATCTTTGCAATCTTGTATAGTTGAACCATTTTCAGTATTGATGCAAAGTAATCTAGCTCTGATAGTTCAAAAACTGCTTATATTTTCATGTGATTTTTATTCAGAATAGTACATTTTTAAAGTTAAAATTAATAATAAATACAAATACAAACTTTAATCTCAGAACTTAGTTGAAGCCCATGGTTTCAAAATTTATGTTAGTTTAATTGTATAAACATTCTGTAATAGTGATTTTCGGTAGCGAAAATGCAGTGTTCAGATGAATTAACTCTCGCTTAAGGTGAACATTAGAAGGAAAACTTAATATTTCAATAGTTATTAGTTACAAATGCAGTTGGGAACAAAAAATTAACGAACTCACGTCATGTTAAATCGCAGATTCTGAAAACCAACTGTTTTCTAGCAAAGGCAAATGTTAAATGCCCTGATAGCTTAAGATAACATAACCAAAATTGGACAGACTTCTCTTGTCTGAAGTCAGAGAGGCCATAAAATAAAATACACAAAAAGCATGTTTTAAATGAATTAGCAACTGATATACAGAAAAACCACCTGATATAGGAAATACCTTATTTTTTGCTTTTATCTCAAGAACGTAATTTGAATTCAAAAAACAAAACCCTTTTGAACTATTCAGCTAAACTACTATCATTAATTCCAACAGTTATTTGTTAAGTGTATAGCCTCTTTCCGTGCTTTCAACCTTTTCGAGTTACAAATTAGCTAGTTTATTGATCAAGCGGTTCTTTCTGCTAACTGCAGAATAACGAAGGAGAGTTTATAATGACTACCAACGAGTAACAACATTTCTATCGTTTTCTAGTAAGGTGCAATTTAAAATATCTGGAATTCTGCGCAAAAATTATACCAATTCTTTGCAACATGTGAACTTACTGAAACGGAAAGCTGAAGCCATTTCGTAGAAAGCAAACAAGAGTGGTAAAATAAATGATGTTTACGTGTGTGCTACTGAG